GAGGATTCTGCCCCAAGATCTCATTCCCATCCCTCTGTGGGGATTCAGAGGGGATCCTGTCCCAGGATCTCATTCCCATCCCTCTGTGGGAATTTAGAGGGATCCTGCTCCAGGATCTCATTCCCATCCCTCTGTGGGAATTTAGAGGGATCCTGTCCCAGGAACTCATTCCCATCCCTCTGTGGGGATTCAGGGAGGATCCTGTCCCGGGATCTCATTCCCATCCCTCTGTGGGGGTTCAGGGAGGATCCTGTCCTGGGATCTCATTCCCATCCCTCTGTGGGGGTTCAGGGAGGATCCTGCCCTGGGATCTCATTCCCATCCCTCCAGGAGATGCAGAGCAGTCCCACCCTGGTCTCTCACCCAGGATTTTGCTGATGCTGGAGTTGTGCATGTCCGGGAAYGCCTGCAGGATCTTCCTGCGCTCATCCTTGGCCCACACCATGAAGGCGTTCATGGGCCGCTTGATGTGGTTGTTGTTCCTGGACTCGGGGAAGTGCCGGGATCCTGTGGGGACAGCGGGGTGAGGGCCGGAGCGTGGGGACGGAGCACCCCAGGGGTCAGTGTGACCCTCCGGCCATCCTCACCATCCATCTCGCAGCTCAGCAGAGCCTCGTCCAGCCGGTGGCCGGGGGTCTCCTCCATCCGCTCCTTCACCGGGGAGGAATCAATCCCGACGTGTTCCTGCGGGACAGCGGGGTCAGGAGCYGGGGAATGGACACCCAGCTCTGGCCGGTGGCGCTGGGGTGGCAGAGGGGACGGTGACCCCACAGAGTGACCCTCACCTTGCGGTAGGGGCTGCTCAGTGACCCCTCGATGGCGGCGCCGTGGCCGTGCAGCAGCTGCCGCGCGTCGTGGATGGCTTTGGTGATGGCRTCGCCCTCTCCCAGGAACCCTGGAGGGACACGGGCACCCCTCAGTGCCAGCGGTCAGTGCCAGCGGTCACCCCACTGACCACCATAGTGCCCACCCTGCTGACCTCCCACAGCACCCCACTGACCCCGCCAATGGTCACCCCACTGACTCACCCACCCCACTGACCACTGCAGTGCCCACCCCACTGACCATCACAGCTGACCACCCCAAGGGCTGGCCCGGCCCAGGTCACCCCTGGGAGGAGCAGGGACATCACTTGTCCCCAAAAAAGCCTTGGGGACGCACCCAGAGGGAGGTTGGACGGGCTGGCCTGCAGCTCCCTGGTGGCCCCATGGCTCGGTGTGAGCGACTGGCAGCCGCCCATCTTCAAACTGGGCGAACTGGAGGCACTGGGGAGCTCGGAACCTTTGGGTTTGGCCGTCAGGTTCAGCGGCTGTGAGGTCTCCTGGGGTGGACAGAGGGACAGCCCAGGGTGAGGAGCCATCCCCGGGTCCCCCAGGCCGGGGTTTGGGGGTTTTTGGGGGGCTGTACCTGCATCGGGAGGTGGCCCGGGCCCGCGGGTCTCTTCAGCGTGGGAGGAGGGGGGCTGTGCAGGAGCTGCACCGGGTAATCCACTGCGGGGACACAGGGATGGCGGTTGGGGACAACGGGGACACAGGGATGGGGGACAGGGCCACCCCGCAGGGGGACCCCGCTCACCTGGTTTGCAGGGGATGGGCTGGATGGGCAGTGCCAGCTGCGACTCGGGGCTGACCGGCAGYGGCTGGTGACCGGGGGTGAAGGCGGGGATCATCAC